GTTGGTGCATCCACAACTACTACAACAACTTCCATGTGGCGCACGCTTTGGACAAACTACAACTAACTGCCATAAAGCGGCGTTTATTTTGCCACAGGCCACTTATCTGTGAGGTTGGCAGTAGGTTGGCTGCTTGGCTGACACAGCATCAGCTTCGTCGCTTGGTCTTGGCTTGGCTTGTTTTTGTTTTCATTGCTGCGCCTGCACACCGGGCGAACGGGCAACGAACCAAGCAAGCAGCCAGAGTCGGAGAGCCAGAGCCAGAGCCAGTTGGCTATTAATTTGAATTCAAGCAGTCAAACGCTGCCTCAGTCCGCAGCGACACAGTCAACAGCAACAGCAACAGCAACAACAACAGCAGCAACGACAACGTCAACTTGGAATCAATGGCTCCACTTTTGCGGCTTGGCTGTTGCTTTTTTGGTGCGTAGGCGAACTCGATTCGCGGCTGAGATATGCGTTCCACCGAACTTTGATGTTGCTGTGAAGTCAGCTAACTCTGCCCAAGCTCGCCATCTCTCTCACTCGACTCTTGCCGACTCTGTCACTCACAGTGCAGCCACTTTTACCAGTCAATGTTGCTGTAAACGTTTTGTTTCGGGCCAGGCCCCAAAGAATCTGTGGGAAAGTTGCCATAATCAAATGGAATTCTGTTTTCGGAATTGTTCACAACATGTGCATACACATGTTGCAGCTGGAATCGCCATCGAAATGGGTATCTCTATCTAAATCTCAATCTCCGGCTTAGCTAGGGTAATATAATCTTGCCCGACTGCAGCTTGATTGCATTGCTGATTATTTCATCATACGCATAATTTAAATTGAACAACAGCCAGCGCGCTTTGGAGGGCAGTGAAACTTCTGGCCAACACAGCCAGCTAGAGGCCAAACTATGATTGGGTTTTTCGAATTAGGGCTTTTGATCTGGGGAAATGGAAAGTGCGACCGAATCAGTCGAGTCACAGAGTCAATTAACTAAAAGCTATTACAAATTGAATTGTGTACGAACTGAACTCTTTTAGCACATATTCTTTACTTAACATTCAATTGCTATTTGACTATTATTTTAGGAAAATATTTGCAAAAAGCGCTGCGTAAGAGTTGACATCGGCAAAGGTAAATAAATACCTTTTATCATTTATATTCTATTATCATTTTATATTTTTAAATATATTAATTACTTCTATAAATATAATTTTTGAGTAGAAAATTCAGAAATGTTACAAGAATTCCGTCGCATAAAGAACATTTTTATTTTTGTTCTTATTTGAAATTAATTCCTAGGAAAAAGTTACTCTCACTCAAAAAACCTACTCTACAAGCTTCGTTAAATGTAAGTTAAATATAAATTAATTAAATGTCGAAGTTAGCCATTGTAGTAAATACTAATTAAATATCTATAAGCCTTGCTTACTAACAAATACATCTTAAAATATATGATTTCAAGCAATATCAAATATTAGAATTCCATCTAAAAATCTCGCATATCAAATAAACTTACAACATATCACATACATATATATTTCAGACTCAATCTCAAATTATCAAAGCGTACTTTTCGAGCATTCGTCAGAGTAAATATTCACTTATTCACACACTAACTGAATACTCAGAATCTTAATTCGCCTCCAATAAACTGAACCTCCTTCCAATTCAAAACACTTCCCAATGTTCATTAACAATTTAAACACAAAGTATATTCGACAAGCCCTTAGGAAACTGCACGATAGCAGCCGAACAATAAAGGATCAACAGGTGTGCATGTCATTAGTGCAAGTTTTATGGTCTTTTAATAGAAACGATTTGAACCATTCGAAACGCCGAAGCCAAGAGTCAAGCAAACAAAGAGCTGGCCATGCTTAACTCAGACGCCGCAACGACAAAAAGAAACATTTCGTGGGTTCTAAATTAAAATGATGATAGAGGGCTATGTGTGTGTTTGTGTGCGTGTGTCTATGTGTGTGCGTGTGTCTATGTGCGTGCGTGTGCTTGTATGTTTACCACACGCATTGGCCACATTTCATCGATAATGAAAGATGACAGTAACGAGTCGGCGGCGGCGTTGCTCGATGATGCTGACAACATTTAAAACAATTTTATGCAAATTAAAATACGGTCAGCCAGGGCGCACCCAAGGTAAGGGAACAAGGGTTCCCTGGTTGCCTAGACACCTACAATGCGCAACATATTGTGGCCATTGCCATTGGGTTTGCTTTTTGTTTTGTCTGTTCTGGCCCGTTTCCAATAATTTAAACAAATTTATGGCCGGGCCTCCGTTTCCACTGCGCGTGGCCAGGCGCTCACTTGTCGAGTGCTGCAGCGGCTATGGCGATCTCACATTTCACAGAGAGCCCACAGACCGAAATCACTTTAAGTGTTTTGACACAATGAAGTCAGTCAGTTCTCAGTCGACAATGCTCCGGTCTCTGTCTCAATGGTATGCTTGCTGGGCATATCTGTGCGGGTTCCCTGCACATTTAACTAATTTATGCGTCAGTTTCAAGTGCCATTTGTGGTCCAGACCTCACAGCTCACCGATGCCGCCGCTTGTCCCTTGTGCTGCTGCTTCTTCTTCTATTCTTATACAACATTGTATTATTGCGAAGGTTTTGTTGCATTTTGTTTAACAATGTCAACAAAATATGCCCCGGGCCCGTTACATGGCATGTTTTAGTTTTGTTTAACATATTTATGACATGTCTATTCTAAATTTTCGAGCTTCTACGATTTATGTTTTTATTAGTCAATATTCTATTGAAATTGCTGTGGGTCTTTTGCATAATTAGTCGATAGACGCTGACACAAATGACAGCCTCAGTAAAATCATAAAAGAACTTGATCTTCTTTCGCTCATGGCGCACTCTTCCGGACTGTGGGAGATTTTACGACTAGGTTCCGCCAAATGTCATATGTGTAGGTTTCTCCCTCTAAGTATCTATAATAACAGCAGGTGATCTAAGTGTCTTCTTTTAATGTTCTTTCTTTGAAACAATATCACATTTCTGAGTAGGTTTAATGTGAATAAAAACTTTAAGCTTAAAGACTTCTGTTCATTCACTGCTTATCTCAAATCACTTTTAGATCAGAAGTCAGAATTCCTTTGCTTGTATCTAGGCTTAGCCATGGCTTAGCTCATTCAGCTTTAAAGCAGCATCAATTACTTATGCCCATAATCCTTGATTAAAGAGATTTTCATTTTTAAAAGATATTGCATAATAGACTTCGCCGTCACGTTTAAAGCTCTTTTTTCGAAGCAGCTGTTATACTTAGTTATCTTTTTGCAAAGAAGATTTATTCGCAAGGTGATAAACTAGAATGACTTAGTGCTAAGTGGAGTAGCGAGATTTTATCTTAAGCCGACAAGGGATTAGGCATTTTGCACATTTGGATTGGCATATCAGAAGTCGCAGATCTGAACACTTGTCAAGAGTGTGGCCCAAATGAATGGAAGCCAAACATAACTAATGGTCTTATAGGAATAACTATCATAAAGGAGCAAACGAAACTGCCAGCGACAATCTCTCTGCTCTTCTCCATTCAGAACTCAGCATGCTGATGCCTACTCGAACGGACATGGCTTGCAGTATTGAAATCTGAATGGGTAAAACTTATCAATCATAGATAGATAAAGCTGCAGCTGTCTAAAGTGGCAGCCGAGAGTCGCTTGACTGCATCATTAAGCCATAAACAACATCAAATCGCCATTAAGGCCATATGCAAATAATTGCAGACTCAGCGAGAGAAAAGCCCTTGCGAATGCGCTGAGCGACATTTTGCGTGAGGCGGCGCCTTTCAAGCCTCCCAGGCGTCCATCTGCGTCAAGAGAACAGCATGACAAATACAATTAACATGCATGCATCGGCCACGCCCTTGACGCCATTAACAGAGGGCGTATAAGGCATAAAAGCATAAAAACCCAAACAACAAAAAAACAAAAGCTAAAGCTAATTTTTCTCACTAGGCACTTACAGAAAACAGGGCCGATCCGCGCAACTGACGCCCGGCTTGCAGACTTTGCCATCTCCAATGAAGCCGGCAGGACAACGGCCGCACCTTGGTCCCGTGGCAGCCTCAAGGCAATCAACGCCTGTGGGCAGAAAAAAGAATGGAGATGATGTATAAGTTGGGTTTGCCATCCAATGGCTGCATGAGTCATGACGCTTACCAGGATAACAAGGATTCGCTGTGCGGCAATTGGGCTCGAGTCGTATGTGATTATCGCCGGTGGGCTCCTTGCAGCCCGCACAGTTCTCCAATAGCAAGCGCAAGTAGGCAATCTCCTGTCGCTGGTGGGCGACATCTTCACGCAGCAGCTTAACCAATGCCAAAAGATCGCTCAGCGAGCGTGCGAGGGCGTCTGGAACAATGAGCATAAGAAAAAACCGTTCAAAATAAGACTTTAAATAAAGCAACAATAATTCATGAGCCGCTGCGCACTCGTGTGTGTGTATATGTGTGTGTGTATGTGTGTGTGTGTGGGAAGCGTTCAGGCAGCTGACAAGATTAAGGCCTAACCAATGCTAAAATCGCACTCATTTTGAGCTCACTCTTGCACCGTCCCGTTTACAGACTCCACAGTCATCTGCGCAAGGCTTCTCTGATTGCAACCTAATCCGCTTTGTCGCTTGGACGGGTCTAAGCCCAAACGCAGCGACCGGGCCTCAATATCCAGCTGCTAATGCGGCGCGTTTTAGCGCAGTTTAATGCAATGCGACAACAGAGCTGAGCACCCATTTCAATCTAAGCGCATCCAGAGATGCTGCACACATGTGCCAAGTCACAGGCACAGTGATGTGAAGTGTAGTGATGACAGTAGCAGCAGTCACTACTCGATTATCTTGATTTATTACTTATTTTGAATCTTTTTGTGAACGAAATTGATTAGTTTTAATATAACAGAAAATGTTTCGGAAATTGAGTTGCTTGTCAAATGTTTTTTTTTTAAGAAATTAAAGACAAGAATAAGGAAATATTATACATTATATATATAGAAATAGCTTTTTAAAGACACTAAAATATTCCTATATATTTTTTGCAAAGACATTTATAACATTTATAACAGAACAAATTATATTAATCTGCTAAAGAAATATATTATTATCTCAATAGAAGCTGGAAAAGAGCAGAGCTGAACACCAAGAGATAGATAGCTGTAAAACCGGAAAGCTCTTCACAGAATTATACACACAATCTCTTGTAAGTTTCATGTCTTTGTGCTAATAATAATATAGTTATAAACTAATAAAAACAACTTAAGTAATTCCCAATCACAGCGACTTCCATTCCCCATCACGACTATTTCAATCAGGTCTGCACTGTTATTTCTCGACGGCTCTATCTTATCCTCTTTAAAATGTACATTAATAAACTCTCAGCTCATCTCTAAATCTCATATGTTGTATGACGCCATGTTAGACACATGGCAACGACTAAACTAGTCCAATGTACCATCGGTTCCAACTGTTTGTCGATTGGTCCACGTCTCGCTGTCTGCTTGAGTGAGTTTTGTCAACATGGAAAACGCCGCCGCCGCCGCCGCCGCCGCCTCAACGCCCAAACGCATCCGCTCAGGCTTTGGATATGCAGGGGCAGGCAACTGTGTTCGAGGTGCACTGGATCTGTGATCGTGTTTTGGCCACGTTTGGGTTTTTAGTGTGCAACCTTCGTTTCGATATCTCGTCGGCGTCATTCATTACGTTTGCCTTTGATATTTATATGCCGCCCAGTCGCCTGGCTCTGTGTGGGTACAGAGCGTGCTACCAATTTGGGATTTTGCACTGAACTAGATAAATAATAATTATGCTGGGTCGACATCGACCAAACAGCACTCAGCGTACCCAAAACGAGTGCACAAGTTATTCACGGATCGGCTTTAGCATAGGCATTGGCATATCTTTCGGTTCATTAGTGTTGTGTCTTTTCTGTGGGCGCTGCTTGTCGCTGGTTTCTCGACGACTTATTGGCAGATCCGAATGTGGGTACTTATACGATATAATGCTTATATACGAATATATTGTAATTAATTGGCTACAGATTTGTGAGGCATTATCGCATTAAGCTACGGCATGTAAGAAGCTGTGGCATCCACTGGCAGCGAGGGCAAACTTTAGAGAATACTAATGGAACATTAAATAAGGCTTAGTCCGATTGAGTAGATAAATATGCTCACACTGGCTACTTATAGCTAAATTAACACAGTTAATAAATTTTAAATATTTTTTTTTGCAACACAACTTTTGCTGTCTGCACATATATTTGAGTAAATATCTAGAAATTTCTTTAAATAATATTTATATATTTATTTTAATATAGTCAAGCAGAAAAGCTTCTAAGTCTGTAGTCTTCAACAGTAAGAAATATTATGAAATTTAAATGAAATTTTTGTTATTCTGCCTATGCTTTACAACTATTCTAGAACCTATTCAAAATGGAAATTCATCTAGAAAAAAAACCTATTCAACAAGTTTATTTAGTGCAAGTGCATAAAAGAAGCGTCAAATAATTTAAACAGCAGCTTAGCTCAGAGTTCAGGGTATCTTCTAGTCGGACAATTCCGACTACGCTAACATTTGTTCATTCATATTTCCGTCGACCAAACTTCCCTTGCATTTGCAGCTTAATTGAATTATATACCCAGACATAAATGTCAACTGCAGTAGACTAACAATTTCATCAAGTACAACATCTATGCAAAAATGATTTAAGAGCAACGCCTTAGAGAGCCCACTGTTCCACCCAAAAGTTGTAGCCAGCCCACAGAAAGGCGAAACACGCCCAATGCGTGAAATGTCGACTGCTGTGTGATAAGTGCGATTGGTAGAAAGATGGCGAGTTGTTGCTTACCTTCACAATCGCCATGCATGATGGGTATATCACCACGTTCCGTGTCCGTAGGCACCTCCTGGTGACGCTGATCGACGCCCTCTCTGGCCAGAGTTGGCTCGTAATACCAATTGTTACGCACGTCGCGTTTCTTGTTCTTCTCTGAAAGATTGGCAGAGCCAAGATCGGTGGGCTGTAGCACACAGCCTACTGGAGTGAAATGTCTGATCGATAAACTTACCACGCTCGCTGATCTTGTTGCGCAGCATGCGGCGATTGCCTCGACGATGAAGTCCCTTCTGACAGTTGGCGCGCTGCAGCGAATGCTCCATGTCTGCATCAAAATGTAGTGGATATTTGCGTTCTCTGAACTGTGTGGACCCAATATTGATCAAATTGAGGGATTAGAAGTCACTCGTAGCCTGATTGATTCAACACTTACCAGCTTAATAACTGGATCATCCATTTGGGTATACAGCTTGGTGAGACTCATGTCGATGTCGTGGAAAGTGCTCGGCTTGCAGTCCACATGGAGCGTAATGCGATTCTTGGAGAACTGCAGGGCCAGCGACCGTATAGTGCTCGTCTCATTTATATTGGGTATCTCAAAGTTGCGTGACTCTGTCGCCCCATTGGCGCTGATGTCTAGAGTAACGCGCTGCTGCTTGCGGTCCAGGAAGAAGGACATCTTATGCTTCAGCATGGGAAAGTCAATCATGAACAGCGCCTCAATCGATATATGCAACTTGCGCCGGGGTCTGTCAGTTGAAGGAATGTCGTTTAACATGGTGCTAAAACACTTCAAGGTTAGTTAATTTACCTTATGTGTCGCGTGGATATGACCACATCTCCTTTTCTGATAAACTGTTCCAGCTCAGAAGAGGCAACTGCAATGAGGTAAGAGATAATGTATGTTTTAGGTAAGTGAAAGGCAATTTTTGCATATATATTCGGCGAATTAATGTATACCGAATGCAGAAATAAAATTTAAAATTTATTATAAAATATTTTAGAAATTATATATATATATATTGAATATAATTAAAATAATTATTTAGACTTGAATTGTAGAGACTTATGAAAACTGTAAAAAAAAAAAACACATACTCGAGATAGCAAACTTGTCAGCTTTGTGCTCATAAAGTAAAAACAGCTTATAAATATTTTTATTTATAATATTTATATATTTACATACATCCCTAATTGGCATTCTCAATTTTACTTTCTTTTAATTACGCTCAGAAGGCAGCGCAATTTGTTGTTGTCTCTTCTCTTTTCATATGCCGAGCAAATCTCTTGTCTCTCGCACAGCCCCTCTGCAAGTGCCATGTTCGGTTCCTGCACCAGCGACAATTGCGCCACACTTGCTCGAAGCGAAGCTCTTGCTGTCAAGCCTTGCTCCTTCACAACTCTAGAAGACTACCTTATGGAGGTCTCACTGATTCGCTCCCCCCAACCATGGCTTTATTTCGTTTTTCTTTCATAGAGTCATGCTAGTTAACAATTTCTTAAGCAATTTTTTGACTAACATTTAACACAACAACCTTTCTATCTACCATTCCCAAACGTGTCTCTGGCTCAACTGACTTGTTATATATAAAAAATATTTCAAGATATTTTCAAGCAGCCAATACTTCTATCCACATTTTATCATCTAATATATATGCGCAGATCTATAAACAATATCAATCATCATCAACTGTCGATCGGTTCTTCAAATTTGTAAATACACAGGCCTACACAAACTTCCGTTTTGCATGTGATACGAACGTACTGCATATATCGATTACAAGATCAACAACATATATAAACTCCAAAGAAAAAACCAAATCAAACAATGCGCTGACCATGTTAGCTAATCTCAAACACAACCTCATGGCATGGCACTTGCTCTATTTGCTGGCAAACGGCGAATGGCGATCGGCAATCGGCTTTCGCGCCTGACAGAGATTACAACACTTGGCGGTCTGTATGAGTGTGTGTGTGTGTTTATTTTTGGTCAGCACTGGCTATAATCCCGTCGCATGTTAACCCAAAAAGAAAAGCCAGCAAACAAAGTGGAAAGCAACGGGCTGCGTATTTGCACAATCAACAAATATGCATGTCAGAGCGTCAAGGAATTTATCAAGACAGACCAAAAACGAGCTCGCGTTTGTAGAATTTGACGCATTTGCGCTGTTATTTGTCATGAACGAGTGTGTGTAGGAGCAGCGGTTGACAGGCGCATGTGAAGTGACCTTCACGATATCGTGTGCCACACTCGATGCCCCACAAGGCACCGGCACCGGCACCGGCGTCGGAATTGCAATTGCAATTGCAGCTTGGCCAGCTCGTGATCGGGCAACGCCAACGCCATTTAAGGTGCTGGGAGGTCGACTGCATGCAACAAGCGTTTAACAGTCTGCTGGGTGGTATTTCTTTTTTATATGTTTTTGATTTACATAAATCGCTGTTTGAGTTGGCTTTTTTTTTGGGCGATGCCAACTGGCCGACAAATATTTGCTCTCGCTTATCGCAGGTTTGCCCATAAATACAACGGTAAACATATTGAACCAACTGAAACTTCAACTGCAGCAGCAACAGCAGCGGCACCTACCTGGATCCAGTGAGAGTGATGCAACCTCCACAAGTGTCAGCGCCAAGGCGACCACGCCCATTAGCAACACGCGCGTCCAATTCATCGCCCGCGTCGTCGTCTTCACTTTGAGGTGATTTGTGTGTCCGTCCGCTGCAGAGAGAAAAATAAAAAGATTTAAGCAGACAGAACGCAGTCGGTGGTTGTTTATTTACGTTTAAAAATAAAAGCCCATAAAATGCATTGCGACTGCCCCAGAAGATCGCATAAAAAATAATAAATAAAATTTAAATTAAATTGTTTTAACGAGCAAAAAAATAGTTTTTTTTTGATGAAATGTTTGCGGCATTTTTGAGATGCTCAACAAGCATTTCATCGTTCAAAATGTCGACGCCTCGCACCAATTTCGTGCCGGAAGTGTTGCTCCGATATCAGCTAGCCACACTTACATATATATTTCTATGGGTCTATGTATGGTTGCCTATGTATATCTTTCATCTGTGTCGGCCATCTGTGGGCGTAATAAAGCATTTGCAACTTAAGTTTCTATATATATATATATATATATATATGTATTTTTTATTTCGCTTCCAGTTCTATTGGTTTTTGAGTTTGGCCGAGATTTATGTTGGATTTTTGCAATCATTCTTTCGTCGGCTCGTGTTAGTTAAATAAATGTTTAGTTGATGTTCCTTTGGCATTTGTTTCTTTTATTCTATTTCTCGGCTGTGGGTCTGCTTTTTCAGGTGCCGCACGAGCGGAAGCGGCACGAAAGAATTTTATGTACACAAGGTGAGGATTTGTTTTTTGTTGGTCTCATGAAAAGTCTTTGATATGGAATTTAATGTGAAACTGTGCGTTCTTGTTTCAAATATAATTTATTTACAATATATAATTTTCAAAAAGGCAGCTGGAATAGACGCACAGCAAGATATAATGAATGTATACAAAGATATACATATTCTCGTGTAATTGAAAGCAATCGATTACGCTGTGACTGCACTTGAGGACCTTTCTATGGGTTGTCCCCAACCAAACAACTTTTGTTATCGATCAACATTTTTAAAATGTAATAAAAACATTAAGTCGTGTGTATTCAGTAAATTTAATTCGAAAGTATCAGAATTTGTGGTATTGAAATTTCGCTTAAAAAAGCTCATCAAATGT